AAATAAATAAAATATGAAAATTCCTATGTACCCAGACTTTGTGGACACCCTGTAATATCTTTCCTGGAACGGCATTTATATGCCGTTATCTTAAATAAGTATCATTTCTAGGTTAGGTAAACAGTATTAAATCTTTGTCCGGGTAATCCAGTGTTGTGCCATCACTGACGATCGCTTGGAAAATAGTCTTGTAGCGCGTTCAGCAAATGGAATAAACTGGGAAAATCTATTGCGTTGTCATACAACCCAATCGCAGGATATTTCAGTCACGCCAGTCTGCCGGCTTTTGAACGAGCTTCTTCTTGGTCACCTGGAGGAAGCATTCGACATTTCGACCATCGATTTCGACTATGTTCACCGCGAGCTTCAGCAGGCTGAAGGTGAACGCAGTGACTTGCGCTATATTATAATGTAAGTGAACTCGCGCAGAGTTTACTTCACTCGCCCACCTGTACGCAAAATAAGTTTTTTCTTGCTCTGTTTTTTTTTGGTAAATGACGCCTTCTGTTAATTTAATACTTGAAGAAAAGGCATCTTACGACATTGATAATATTTTTTAATTTTGATATTTTTCAAGATCGTGAATTGCTTTTCTTTCTACAAATTAGGAAAGTAGCATATAAAATATTCGACATACTGCACACTTATTACAAAATTTACTTTGAACTCTGTGACCTCTTCCCTCTGGCGAGGAGAATCATCAGATTTTTTTGTTGATGAATGCTCATCAATCGCTAACGGCACTCACCCGTCCCGTTCTGCCTTGAGAGTCAACCCTGACTGGTGCGAGTTCAGTATCGAATATCAATATTGCTGACCCAAACCGGAAAGGCCACGAGTCTGCGGTTCAGTAGTTAGTTTCCTGCTTCTGATTAGCAACTTTTCTATTTGATCTTCTGGTGGCGAATCACCCGATGACGGCAATTGAGCCAGAAATGGTCATTCCAGCCTTTCTTGTCTTTGCCGGATATGTTTATCTGCATGGTTTTTATTAGGCAAAATGTACGCGGCATGTACAGCGTGTCGATGGGGTTCAAAATGATGCGGAAATTTTGTTTATTTAACCCTAAGTGTGCCCTTTCTTCAAGTACAATTTAAAGAGTTTTATTTGACGGTTAACGGTAATGAATATTGCAATACTACTTAAGTACGATGTTTGATTTGAAAGTACGCATTCCAATTCTTGTTTAAATTTTACGAGATGGAAAATATACTGTATTTAGAACCTTAATCGATCGTTCCGCATTATAATGTGACGGCTTCCAAATGAGGCCACACTTTTTTAATCGTGATGCACCTAAAATGTTTTAGAATTAAATGAGAATATGTCATTCTGATAAGCCTCAAGATAACTGTTTGGATTTTCACAAAACATTATTTTTCCGTATCTACGATTACATATTTTCCTATTATTAATGCATTTCAGGAGCTGAAGGACGGCTGAAAATCAAACCTTTATGTAAGCTTGGTGAAAATATATAACTTGGAAGAAATACATGCATATATCTTTCAGGGAATTTCATTATTAATTAAAGTTTCTATTTAGCCCACTGTTGTTTTAAGTGTATAAGATGACAAGTATTTATAAATACTTGTCATCTTTTTTCTTGAGAATGGCTTAGCCAAGGGTAAGATGCTAATTATGGCCAGGAATGAAGAAAGGCTGTTAAGAGTGTCTCCTGTTCTCGAGGAAAAAAACGAAAATTACGTTCGTGAACAAAATTTCTTCAGAACTAGCCTATTTCCGGATCCTAACTGGATGCCCTCATGGTATGAAATCTACTTAGTCCTCAAGTCAGTGTTTATCTTGCTGAATTAGCATGCAGAATTCAGGAAAACGAGCTTAGTTGGCGACTCATCTCATTTTTTGCAGGCAAAAGGGCTTTTGCGGAAGATCATTCACAACAAAAATAAAAACTTACTTCGGGTTTTTGAGAAGTAAACTAGCGTTGTTGCATTTCATTTGATTATAATTTTTGAACTGTTGAAATATATTTTCAGCGGCATAAGGGTGTTCTTTTGTCTCCTGTACCTTGCCCGTAGCATGACCATGAGGTCATGTAACATGGTTACGGAAAGCCCAAACTTGTTCAAAAAACGCCTGAATCACTGTATTTTTTCTCGTTTTAGTGCATTTTATCAACCTATGGGAAGATTAATCCATACGTACATGCTAAATTATCTTACTGACGTTATAAACGTCAACGTTCAAGGTTATAACCTTGAAGTAGTAGCAGGTAATTTGTAGCACGATTCGAAACATACAGGCCATAAAAGTGAGTGCTTATATATACATTCAGAAGAATAAAACGAACTATTAATTTAAATATAAATGGAGAGGCCTGACGAAACTGTCGAAAATTAGCGTATGTTCGCCGAACTAGCTGCATCTAAGTAATTAAAAATGTGTTCCCCTGACAACTGTTCGAACATGTGCGAACAATTCTCAGGGGAACACATTGCTTGATCAAGCATCACTGAAGGAATTTTCTTTAGTTACAATATAAAACTTATTTCTTGTATGGACATTGCTTTATTTTGATTTCTACTAATATGGTATTTCAGACGCTTTTGCTAGGCAAACTGTCAGAAGGTATTTTTGCAACTGCGTCGTGTAGATATGAGTTCCCTTGATATTTAGTATGTGAGGCATGTGTTTTGTCTGGTTTTCTGTATACTCTATGTTCTAAATTAACGACCTTTTTTCACACGTTTCTGAAAACTTTAAATCAGCTGCTAAGGAATTGTTTTAGTTAATTTAATTAAGTTATTCGCGCGACAGGGGGGAAAGTCTCCGACTAAAGGTTCCTACATACAGTTCGGATGAAATAGTAAGCGTCGCATGTGAAACTATTAAGTTAGTTGTCTTATTTGCAGTCTTGAACATAAAATAGTTCCTTAGATAACAATTAGTGGAATCAATATTATCTCAAAGATGCTTCGAAATGTAACGGAACTAATAAAAACCTAGAAACTGTAAATATGGCGTATGAAATACACCGAGAATTCTGTTTAAACGTTTTCACATGTGAATGGAAAGGTCTGTGTCAAAGGGGAGTATGCCTTTTGAATGCCCTTCCACGCTACCTGACATAGCTATTGCACTCATTTTTGCCTGGATATTTAGAGTCTACCTATACATTTACTGTTAATTGTAATCAGTTAATGTTTATAGCCTACTACTTCGTCACAACATCCCCTCATCCTCGCTTGTGAATCAGCCAATCCGTTACATGCCTGATGGATGGATCAACGAATGCATAAATGGCGGGTACATTATGCCAAATTGCTGACTGGACGCAAAAATATCCACAGTTATTTTTCAACAATACTCTATTTTTTACTACCTGTTTTTTTTTTCTACCAATCTAGTGCCAAACATGCAGGCAGCTCTTGTGCCGATGGCCACCAGGCAGTTTGGGATAGTGCCTGCGTTCATGCTAATGTCAGCGTGGTATATTACTCTGCTCGGCGTCGGATCGATCACTGCATTAGCTGCTGTGAAACAGCGCTCGAAGCTGTACAACCGGAAACAAGTATACGCAGTAATTTGTGCCTGTCGGCTCAAAAACCAACGCAAGAAGCGAAAGAAGAGCAAGTCGGACGTGAAAATTAACTTAGAGGTGCGCGGTTGGTTTGTTCTGATTTATTTGTTCAACATTTCCGCAAGGGGCTTTTTTCTACTTGATTTTGCCCTTTCTACATTTTCTAGCCTGATTTGTGTCCCTATGTGGTCCTGCAGAGCAAGTATCTCCCTATTGACGTTTTCCAAAACCTTCGCAGTGTGATTGACAAATACTCCGAGTATCAAAACATGGTTGACATGTATGCCAAACTCCGAGAGACTGGGGTAGGTCAAGACGAAAGCAGTCTACCTGCTTGGTCTGGCATATTTTATAATTTTGTGCAAAAGGCGTTTTACAGCTAAGATTGAAAATGACTAAGGTTTTTGATAACGTAGGCATTCGTTCATATGGATAGAGCTAAGAATGCGCAATTACTTATAACATGAGCAGTGTTTTACTGAAAATTTGGCAACATTACCTTATATAGGCTCACTCATTAATCCCTACTCCCTATATGTTTTCCCACGAAAAAGGTGATTATAGGGTTTTATGGGTGGGGGATTAGGACACGCGGTGAAATAAACTTTAATAAATGCTAAAGGAATTTGTATTTTACTGTAATTAGGAGTGTTTTTGATTTATATCTGTAGATTTTCCTAATCTGTATTATTGTTTAACTTATTCTGGAAAACCCGATTATCAAATTGCAGGTTTTTTGAATTTCCCGAAAAATTTATAAGGTGGTTAGGATGTCGTCTACTTCAACTTATCTGCGGTCCAACTTACCGTTCTGGAGTCAAATTAGTATAGTCCGCGGCGCGAAGCGCCGCGCACACCTTCAATTTACCTGTGGAACAACGTGCTCCCAGCGGCCGCAGGAAGCAAATTCGACTACATTTTTTCCCTTTACACTTACTTATAAAAATTTCCTTCTCTGCCCATCCTATTTCCACACCCCCCAAAACTCTATAACCGCTGTTTTTGCAGGACAAAATGTTGGGACTAGGGGTATATGAGTGGGCCTACATAAGCTACCTTTGCCGAAAATTTAGAGCAGGTGAGGAAGTACTTAATTAATTGTTGTAAGTCCATCTTTATTAATGAGATATCTCATGCATATTACTTAACCAATGTTAAAATAGAGCGGACGCCATATTTAGATTCTGCTAGGAAAAAACTGCAGCAAATTCAGTAGCATATTCAGCTGGAGGTATACGATCCGTACATTGGCGATACACTACCCATTTGTTTAAAAAGTATTCCTTGGTAACATTTAAGCCACCTAGGATAGACATCAGAGCCCAGTTACATGAGGTAGTTAAAAGAACGTTTTCCAGTTAGTTTTTAATGTACACAAGTCAAGGAGAAATATAGTTTCCTTCTTAATGTGCTTCGTTCCTATATATTTTACTACAAAGGACCAGGAGAAACTTAATGAAATGGCTCACATGCTGACTGACTTTTTCCGAAAAGAAAGAAGAGAAAGCAGTAAGTTCATTTTGTCAGTGCACCCTGCGTTTAGTAAAATGACAGGATAAAGATTTGAATGGGTTTATTTTAGTATCTATATTTCGGAAGTTGATTCATTTTAGCTGCAGAATCGTAAAGCTATTGAAAAGCGTAAATCAAAAACTCTCTTTTTAAATAAGAATATGCATGCTATTTTAAAAGGAGTAACTTTATAAAACATAATATCTCCTTTTAAGTTTGACCAAGTTGACTAGAGGTGCTTCAACTGAAACTTTAAATGGCAGTTGTACTAGCTTGGTTTTGGGGACTAAGCTCGCAGGTTAGGAATCCAAACATATTTTGCAGTAATAAATTATGTAGTTGGTTTAATTTACTTATAAATAAACCTGCTATGACACATAAACATTACACCGTTTAGGCTATAATCAAATAATTAAATTAAATAATGACAGTTTATGCATACAAAACTAGTTCCGAAAATCAGTATTCAGAGGTATTTAACTCCAACTTAAAAACAACATGGAGAACAGCTTTGTTACTCAAAGTTTTTAGCCAATTCCATCACAGGCCGTCAAGAAATCAGAGGACTACCGATATGGGGAAATGGGTAAACATAATGCAAGTAGACAGATAATGGCCAGTTCAGACCTCTTTCAGTAATGCTTCAACGTCATGCAGGCGATCTTTCGCTTTTAAACCCCAGATAGTGTTATTTAGTATTCGATTTAAAAGTTACTAATGAACTGCATCTCCACCTAGAACACAGCTTACATGCCGCTAATTTTTTACCCGTTATTTTGATCGGCAATTTTACAAGAAATACCGTGAGTGATTAATTAAATGTTCGTGTGGGAGGTGTTAAAGAATTGGTCTTCCGTTAATAAGTCCGTTAAAAATTTGTTCTTGCCATACCATGGAATGGAACAAATTAAGAACTAACTTCCATCGAACAAAGGACTGCAAGGCTACCGAGCTAGATAGATGATAGACAGATAGATAGATAG